ACAGAATAAAGGACTCTTTTCCATCGAAAAATATTATAAAACTGATTTAAAATGAATTCTGAAGAGAATTTTTCGTGGCGTCTGTGCGTACGTACGTATGTACGTAAGTATTTCGTGTAACTCAAAAAAGACTAGCGTCAGAATGTTGAAATTTTGTATATAGGACTGCTAAACATGTAGATGTACATCTCGTATTTTGGTTGCAATCTGCCGCACCAAAAGTACTATAACTTACTTTGCAGCAATTGCGCAAGTAGTAGTAACTTTTTCGCACTAAATAAATTTAAGATCATACAATATATGTAGATATATATATCCACTCTGTTACTCGGCTCAGTGATCTCAGTTTCTTTATTCTTATAAGTTTATAAATTGTGCACTTTTTGGTTTAAAAATGATTGAATTATGTTGTTCTTGTCTTCCGGTTAAATTTTTTATGCCTTTAGTAAATCTGCATGCAATGTTTGTAGAATTATCAGCAATTTAAAAGTTGTTTAAGTGCGGTTAAGACTAATTATTTTTGCCATGGAGGCCATGTTTGTTTATATTTGAAACTCGGCAGAGTAACGGATTTGTTGCCAATCTAGAGAAACTAAGCTTCGCAACAACAAAGATAACGTCTTTTCTATTATTGCGAATTAAATCATGCTTAATAAATTCTGAAATTTATTCGAGGAAATAAGTGTTTGAGATTTACTTCGTAATTTTCAATATACATATTTTGAGTTTTTATGTATTTTAGCCTTGTAGCGAAGTGAGAACTAAAATTAATTAAATTAGAAATACTGAATCGTCTGTGAAAAACAGTATCTTTGTTTGTTTGTTTGTTTAATTTATGTTATACATCGTTTTAGATTTATTATAGTAATTGAATAGAACATGTGTGCAACGATTAGATAATTCTTTAGATGATATAAATTTTGTGCATTCTGAGTTTACTCAAGAGACTGTTTTCAAAGATAGCGATTTCATATGCCATTTTATTGCTCCAACCAAAGATCTCCGAATTTTTAAAATGTCACGAACTTACGTTTTTCGAGGCTATGACTGTAAGTGATATATATATGGGAGTAAAGATATTCGGATCTCACACTTCGCTACATAACTTCCGATCTACCATTATAAAATAAATGAAATATAACGCTGTTAAGGGAACTTAGCGCCAGAGTGTCGCTACGGTAAACACATATAGTGAATTTTAAAGAATGCATTTATTATATTGTGATTTATGCGCTATCGACGAAGTAGATTTAATTCAATCCAATAAGTTTAAATGAAATGCAAGAAAAAAATGACAAATCTCTGCACTGACGAGACACTCCAGGTTAAATCTCAAGATACACTGACGATCAACTCTCTCGATGCACTAACTCGCGATACACTATCGATAAAAACTGCTGCTCCGCGTACAGGCAGGGTTTATATAGCTTATAACCTGCCTTTGAGATATTCTGGGCCAAACCGGTAAGAATTCGTCCTAGAATGTTCTCCATCCGTCTATGGCATATCGCCTATTTTTTTCGTCATATGGGCGATTTCGCGCCAAATATGGCAACCCTTCCTTCTTTTGCCATTTTCTGTCAACCCTAAACCCTCTTGGCGGAGAGGCTATCTTACCGCAGCTGGATATTTTGTAACAATATTTTGAGTAGCGCTTTCCAGACAAGGAAAACGCAAGTTAAATTTCGACAATCGATCTAGTAGAACGGGAGATATAGAACTGCACTTTTTTTTTTTTTTTTTTTTTTTTGTGTGTGTGTGTGTGCAAGATGTACATGGAAAATATGAGTGAATTGACCCCCAATATGAATTAGATAATTTTAAAATGTTAGGATTCTTTTTACCACTGAGCAGTTCAGTCTTAGATCTAGAAACTTAAGTAAGGATATTAATGTTTTAAATTTGGGAAACCAGTATTTGGTAAAATTGAGCCTTCTTGTGCCATTAATTTCAAGTAGTAAATGTAAGCTTATCCACAGACAGTGATTTTTTTCCAAGAGCAATTTATTACTAAATACAATTATCGAAAATTTAGCAAAATTACAGCGCAGCAATTTCTACGAATAACTTCTATCTATGCAAATATCAAAATGATTTAGTCTACATTAGAAAGCTATGTAGCTAAGTTACCCCCCTGGCTTAATTGCCTAGCTTACAAAAACAGCTTTGCAGTTATTTATGTAAATTATCGTAAAGTATTTTAGCTACATTTATGAACACATGAAATTTGTTAAAGCTCAATATTCTCGATATACAGCAACTAGAACCTAACTGTTTAGTCAAAATTTTTTTTAAATTTTAAATGAAATGATTCTGAAATTCTCCTTTCTCCGTAGGTCAAATTTTAAAGTTGCCGAAATTAATGCAGAGTACACTTCCGGCTCTTTACATTGCTACATCAAGAAGGAAGCAAACAACAGAATCTTATTTATTATACATATGAAGTAAAATGGGAGGGAGACATGATTAAATTTGGTTATGGTATGCAGTATACAGCTTGCAGAAGTTAGTACACCAAACTACAATTTCTGATAGCAACAACGTTGTTACTCGGCTGAGTATCAAATCTAACTAAGCCTGGATGACAGATATTTCATTCCATGCGGCTTCACGCCTATGCCGGGGAACATCAATCATAGTGGGTCGCGAAAGGTGACGAGCCAGTCTCTCCCATATGTTCTCGATGGATGAGAGATCTGAATGCGTGCTGGCCAAGTCGGAAACTTTCTGCATCGAGGAAGATCAGCAGAGCATAGGAAACACGCGGTCGCGCATTATCTTGTTGAAATATGGCATCACGCAGACTTCAAAGATAAGGCGCAACCACGGGCTTTAACACATCAGAAAGGTAACAAGAGCTGTCTTTATCACTGATTGTGCGACCACGAGGTGACCGAGATGTGTATCCAATGACACCCCATACCATGACGCGGTGACGATAATGAATGCAAACCGAGAAAGTTTATTCTCGTCGGTACCTCCTCAACACAGATACGTCCACCATGCAGACACACAGAACCAGGATTCGCCTGAAAAGATGATGTGGTGCCACTCCTGCGTCCAGTGTCTTCGTTCATTTCAAAACTGTAGGCGCCCCGCCTCGAGGGAAGTCACTGTAAAAGTCGCCATACTGACAAATCCGCGGTGCTGCATTGTTCGCGCGGAACATATAAACATTTCGGCAACATCACGCATACTGTAAATACTCAATCGAGCAGCGATATTTAATTTAAAAAAAAACCCGCCCAAATCATGAAAAAACTATCTGCAGTTGGAACAGACTTGAACAGACTACATCACTGTAATAAAGTACACTTCCTCTGCAGTAAATAAATTTTAAATAATTCATTAATATCAGGTCTTTTGAATAACTCTGAATATATGATTTTGAAAATAAATAATTCAGCTATATATATGTATATTTCACCACATGTATATGCGTATATATGTATTTATACATTTTTTAAACAAAGGTTTATGCGGTACTATACCAATCAATCATACGGTACAGGGATGGTGCTCGTGTTCTCCCATTACTAACTCACTCAAAATCCGTGCAGACATTTGTCGTCCTGCACATGAGCTAAATTCCTGACTTGACTTGCTCTACGATACCTTAAAATAGAGAGGACAGTCTGTCCTCACGGACGTTAGTTGCCTAGGGCCGCTTAGATTCTGGATGGCGTTCAGTATGGTCTTCCCTGACATATTTGCCTGACAGTTATGGGATCTAAACCAACACGAACAGCAGTGTGGCTGAAGGATAAACCGTAAAACCGATAGGTCATGATCCTGGAATGCTTGAATTCATATACTGGTAGGAATTTCTCCTTCTGACATGAGGCATTTTGTACTCTTCATGTAAATTTGCCGGTTTTTGAATGCCGCCTTCATGGTGTAGCAATTTTAATGGCCAGCAGTGATTTGGCAGATTAATTGGCTGTTACAGGAAAGAAGCAGTGCCATTGTCTCTTAGACTGCAAGATTCATTTTTGCTTACAATCATTTCGAAAGAAGATTGGATTATACAAATTATTGAAATTCAAATTTGTGATAATTTTTAATAACTATGAGTTTGCGTAAACAAAATAATGTTTGATGGTAGAGGTGGAGAAGGACTTTATCTAATCATAACCGAATTTTGACTTTAGAAATGCCGGCAGTTTAAACTGCCTATTTATTTTCCTGTCACGTTACATTTTGTTATATCATTACAGCATTAATCATAACAAATCGCCAACTCTGATAATCTCTGCCATTATTTGCATCTAAGATCTTTATGATGGTTAGGCAAAACTTGAGCTCTGACAGCAGTTTTCATTCTCTGCAGTATAAGATCATTCTAAATTTATCTTTCGAATTATAACAGTACGTTATTTACTAACCATTACCTCATTGAACGACCTAAAAACATGTACGTTCTTGGTAAATTTTTCTTATTTTTATTCTGATGGTAAATTTCTGTAGCACTTCTCTTATTTATTCAGTTACGCTACGTTATACTGCTACATTATTAATCATCTGCAAAGCACAGTAAATTGGTAATGCTGAAAGCTGATGTCAATTTTGCAACAAAATATATTTTATTTAACTTCTTGGTAAACTGTATATTCTGAATTCTGAGATATATTATCAAGCTTTCAACAAAAATATCTTTAATTTAGCTTTCTAAGTTTATTAGAAAAGGTATCTATTTTTATTATGTATTTCTTATGAGCGATTCAAAAACAATGTTTGCACTTCTGAATAATTTTTATGTTATTTTTAGTTACATATCTACTTGATATAATTCGTGATATAGCTAAATAATTACTTTTCCATTTTTAACCGTAAGTATAATTAATAAATACTGCATTTATACCATTACTATAGTTAATAAAAGTATTTCTAACTCCATAATAATTTACAGAATGATAATTTGCGCATTTCCTAGCAATGTTTTCATTTGCTGCAATACATTGAAAGAAAGATAATTAAAATAAATATATTAAAATACATACGTATAATTTACTTAGTCCATTTTCCCAGCATGTGAAAAGCTAAAAAAGAAAATAACATTTGTTATAGCAAACATGTTTACTTTCACTATATAATAATTACTGTTTGTAAATTAATTATAATACTGGAGGATTTTATTCAATATAGAAAGCAAACATCTCTGAATTTTTATAGGTTTCACTTTTCTTCAAAATTTGCCATTTATACGCGGCACAGGCAGCTACCTAACACGCCAATTTTTAGAGAGTGCCAACTAAGTTGTTCTTTCAAATGAAAACTACTCGAAAGTATATTTTACTTTATTTAGTATATTTAATTTATTTAATATATTCGATTTATACTTGGTAACAGCTGCACTAATATTGTACGACGCCGAAACTGCTGGGCCTGTGTCTCTCTTTTTTTCTAGTAGCTACTGGCTTGGTTACGCAGGAACATGACTTGGTTACACAGGACACATAATAATAGCCTGAAACGGAAAGCTTTGGAACCGGAAATGCAGCTACTAAACATTCTGAAGGTAGTGAAGTGGAGTAAGATAACTGATATGAGAAAGAATAAAGGTCAGCTGTTTTTAATGTTTTATTTAGCAAATAAATTCAATAAAATAGTTTTACTTCTCCAGCTACTTCAAAATGAGACAATTGGGAAATACTCTGTTTAAGAATACTCTGTGATATTCAAGATATGAATTGAAATGTTAAATGACTTGATTCTATAGAAAAATAATTATTGTTTTATTAAGTATATGCAAATGTGCAATTAATCATATGTAAATTTTAAGTAATATTTCTCTGAAGCGTTCTGATATTACTATTTCAAATGATCCACAAAAGTGCTAAGTTCATTCAGAAAGTGAGCACCGTTTGGATATTAAGAAAGTCTGCCAATTTGTTTTCATTTATATTTTATTACAGAAAAAGTATTCATGGGCTAATTTACATTAACTCAAGAAGTCTAGCTGACCTTCCAACTTCCTTTATATGGGTCTTGTAGTCCGAAATGCCAGCTTCTTTGGCATTTTGAAATGCCTACAATGCGACGAATTAAAAGTGAGTCCATTACCTTTGACATATCTACCAAATCTCTGCTAGCACCTAGTATACTGTGTCACAAAATAAAAATGAATCCCGCTGCTTTTGACTTACTACTAACTTCTGGGCTTACACCTAAAATTTGGTATTTTTCCGTGCTCATGCTAACCCTTTTAAATATAAATTGTGCTGGTAATCTAGGCCAATTGTCTCAAACTGGCGGCCCGAGGGCCACAACCGACCCCATAGTAATTTTATGTAGCCCACAAACATTTTCCATAAAGTAATCAGCATTATTAGAATATTAATTATTATGGCAAGAATTTAAGAAAGGTTATGATTTTAATGATTTTGAGTCCAATTTTATATTATTTCCTTTTCCATTAAAAACGAACGTGAGTTACGAAAAATTTAGAAATGAAGCTAATTAATTTCGGTTGTGATCTAAACCTTATTCAAAGATGTGAAGACACAATTTTGATTAACCTTTGATCGCACTAGGAAAAAAATAAATACACTCGGTTACGAATTTCTGCAATAAGAATCATTGGAGAATCATTTAGAAACACATTTATATGTAAACAGTTTTTCTGCTATTGATAATTATTAAGTTTAGACATGCCGATGAGCATTTATACTTCATGATAGTTTCCAGTATTTTTCTCCAAGGTTACAACTTCATCAAAATTTAAACGCCATGAGGTGTAGCGGTTGAAAGAGATAAAGAAACTTATGATTATTTACATGCAAATAAAGGTATTTTTTCTGTATGCGTCAAAGAAAAGTTTAATAAGCAAAATAAATTAAATAAAAATAAAAATTTTGAGAGACGAAGAAATAGGCGGTATAAAGTTTTGCACGGATAGATTTTACTATCAACATTATATAAAACTTTGTACGAATAGTTTTTGTGATAAAGCTTTGTACGAATAGTTTTTGTGATAAAGCTTTGTACGAACAGCTTTTACTATACCGCCTATTTCTTCTTCTCTCAAAATTTTAATTAAAATTTTATTGACTGCTTTAGAATTAACATGAATATTAAGATATTAAGAGTAACTGCAGTTTTTGAGTGTTGTGGTAAAGAAGTCAAATAATTATCTCATTTCATACTTTTTAATGCGAATCAAGATAATAGAAATAGCCTGTAGCCTATTTTTATTTTACTTTAAAGGTTTTTCGTTTTAAAATTTATACGCGATTGGGCGAAATGAACACTGACTTAACAACTGCAGTCTGAAGATTTAATATTTAGCTATCAAAGCGCATGAATTACAAATTGTTACCAACAGAAATTTCTTGCAGTTACCAACCTCGAAATTTCAAACAAAAAATATACTATATAAATTGGAATTTTGTGCGTTGCGTCATCATTATTATTGTTTATAAATGTATAAAATAAAATTAAAAACTTATCAAAAATTATTTTGTTGAATCTCCTTTACCTTTCGGTTAAAAAAAAAGAGGGGGGAGGCCTTTGCTGCTTTTAGATTGTGCATTCTACCTGCATGCAGCTTCAGTTTGAGACCACTGATCTAGACCCTTATCGAAGTGAGATCGATACCGTTTGTGCCTGAAATGTTAAGAATCAAATCCTTTTAAGAACACCGCCAGTTGCCAAAGATACTAATAGTTAATGCTATGCAATTAGGACTGATCTAACAAACCGTAGTCCTGCGTTATAGTATCAGGTGACAGTAGGGCCGGACACCCGGACGGCTTTCAAAGACTAATCGGGTATAGTCCGGGACCCGCTCCATCCACAGCGTAACATGTTTACAACATAAAATACCTAGCGTTGCATTACATACACGATAGGTGGACATTGCATGGCGACATAACATAGCTCAGCATAGACATCACATGGCATAGCATTTCGACGTGACATAGTATAGAATAGAGTCATTGCATAGCGACATAACATATTTACAACATTAAATACACAACGTAATGTGACTTACACGACAGATGGACATAATATAGCGACATAACATAGTTAGGCATAGAGAAGACATAGCGATATAACATATTGAGGTTACATATTTATGACATACAATTCACAGTGTGGCATGACCTATGCGATAGGTGGACTTTGCATGGTGACATATTATAGCGTAGCGTTGAACTCATACATACCTCTACTGATACTATAACGCTATGCTAAGACATATCATAGCGTAGCGTTATAGTATAGTAGTAACGCTACGCTACGCTAAGACATATCATAGCGTAGAGTTATAGTATCAGTAGAGGTAAGTATGATTTCAAATGTTTACAGAAATTATTATACGATAAAAGAAAAGATAAATATAATTGTCAGAGCTAAAAGCGGAGTATCAAAAGCATGAATATGGAAGAGCGGATGGTAAAATAAAAGATTGGTTGAGAGCTGAACAAAAGCATGAATATGGAAGAGCGGATGGTAAAATAAAAAATTGGTTGAGAGTTGAAAAGAAAATGCACGCTTTTTTCTTTGTTTCGAAAGTACTATTAAATTCCAAAGGAGGAGAAAGCTCGAAAATTTCTCTGGAAGACAGTGAAATTGATGACAGCTTGTACAAACGATTTAAGAACATAATCAGTCTCTAGCTGTTAAAGATCTGATGAATTTCATGGTGCGAATGATTCATTCAAAGCATCAAATGGATAGCTATCAGAAAGCACGACAGAGAAACTGCTTAATAAGGTGGCAGGTAAGCTGCATCTAGCGACATCATTTCTGCTAGTGAATTTCCAATGTAACTAGAAAAGGTGATTCAAGATTTCTCTTCACAGTTGTGGTGAGACTATAAACTACTGCCAACCAAATTCTAAAAAAAAAAAAAAAAAAAGAAGAAGAAGAAGAAGAAGAAGGGGGAGAGGGGGGGGAGTGCTTCAAATAAATAAAAAATTAAGTATATGCTGCGTACTTTCATAGATTAAAATTGCAACACATAAAAAAGTTGAAACTCACGTTGTTTCAAATATGTAAACATGAAATCGGCACTCCTAATTTATCACAGAGTGCTTTTGCGTGGATGGCTAGTGGAATGATTCGAATATTATATGCAAGTGAAATTGGGCTATCTGCAGGCAGCATTTACAAGTTAAATCCCCGAAAAAAAGCGCAACTTCTTCTTGGAAATTGCGGTATTCTTCTTTGTACTATCAAAAATAAGAAAAGGCATTTGTATTGCTTGCCACTTGAATGTATCTTGGGTGTTACTCCATGAATAGCATAGACATGCTCATAGAGCTCTAATTAAACCACAGGATAATGGAGTAATTCACACTTTCATAATTCATTAGCGTGGAATTAATCTGGCGTGTTACCTATTTAAATCTGAAAAACAAACATTTGTTGTTGTAATAAATAAGTTTGTAAAATTCTTACTTTCATAGTTTTGTACCCGTTTTTTAAACTTTTTATTTTCACTTGAATTTTTTTATTAGTAAACTGTATATTTTAGCATTATAATTTTGTCGAGACGTTAGGTATTTTTAAAGCATGAGATGTGAAAAATGAACAATGCCCTCGCTGGGACTCGAACCACGGACCTCTCGAATACGCGCCGAGCGCGCTGACCACTACACTACGAAGGCTAAGAAAGCGGGAGAAATACCTTATAAGTTTACTTTGGAAACAGGAATGCATTCCATTTAAAATTTTTATTTTTTACAGTAATTTTATTATTATTATTATTATGTGTTGAATATGAAAGGAAAAACAGCTGGGTAGAGGAGGCATTCAGAATTTTAAGATAAACAATAATAATAAAAAAATTCAACGTTGTGCATCAAAAAAAGAAAAAACATACTGTTTTTACCCGGAAATGAGATTTAGTTGGAGTCTGATCTTGACATTCTTGAATCAGATTTTAATTGTATTCATTTTCTGTTTTTATGTAGTTCTATTATTTTCACAACTTCATCTAATTTAAAACTACTGAATTTTACATTTTTCATAAGAAAAAACTAACTTTTTTGTTTAGAAAAATTTCTTAATACTAGTACTAATTTTAATTTGTTTGCTATCTTTGAAGTCTTTGAATGGGTTGGTTCACAAAATCTTTTTTACTCTTTTAGTTTTCAATTTATTGATTTTTCAGTAGATTTTGGCCAGAAAAAATTTCACGATCTTTTTGTTTAAAAATTTCTGCAATATATATAACTGTATATATATATATCAGTCCGTGTTTCACTTTCAAATTTGTGAATTTGCGATGAGACACTAACTAAGATGGCTTAATCAAACAAAGTCTTCATCAAGAGAAAAGTAGACGCTGAGAGTAGTACATTTCAAGACAGATGGACTGACAATAATTTGTTTCTGATACAGAAGAAAAGAAAACCTTTTTTTTATATATAATTTAGGTTAAAATAATACGCCGAATAATGATTATTGGAGAAGTCAAACTACAAATGTAAAGCTGATTCTTGTTGTCTGACTTCTCCAATAACCCCTTTGATATGTTTGAAAACTACAGTTTACTCTCAATTATCCGTACTAATGCCGGGGAAGACGGATAATTGAAAAATACGGATCACCCAAACTACCAATTTTCATGCCTACCGTATGTGTTTATTTCTTTAAAAAGTAATTTTAGTTTAATTTTGAAAATGTTTAAATATTTGTCGAATTTCGCTGCGTATTTTTCGAAGTGCTATTTTATCATTGTATTCGAATCCTCTTTGCTCGACGAAGTTCAACTCAGTTTCAACAAAAATGATTGCTATCTCGGAACTGGTATAATTGTAAGCATCTTCTTCGCTTGTATTTTTTTTAGTATCACTCCTTGCCTCATTAGAACTTTTGACATTTGAAACCACAACCACGTCACTCAAACATTGGAAGTCCAGCTCAGTCGAATCGCCATAACACTATTTCTCGATGTTTTCCCGATCGATATTTCCGAAGATTTTTACATTTTAAAGTCTTTGGCACAGAACTTCAGTTATTGCCTTGACTTTTTCACATTAGATAAATATTAGATTTTTCTATTAGGAAGAACCTTTCTCCATGATCGAACAAGTGTTATTCGTTTTACTTGCGATCAAGCTTTCTCTACTCCGTATATGACATCCAGTACAGTCCAGACATTTTCCAGAACTTCATTAAATCATCATCTTCTTAAGCAAGACTAATGAGAAGACGAGGTAATCGTTGAAACTAAACCTAAAGATACACTTATGCCGTTTTTAGAGAATGCTAGGACCCGCACGTGTTCGTTTTTTACGCACTCTTGTGCATAGCGTTGAGTATGCGTGCGTAGGTCCCACGATGCACGAATAATCCGCAAACCCGATAATCTGCACCCGGATAATCGAAAGTACACTGTATTTTGGTTTTGAAGCAACGCATCTTAAGAGATTACAATACGATGCAAGTTAATTAGAACAGTTACAAAGATCAGATACATAAAATTAAAAAACAGTATACATATACAACAAATGCTATCAAATGTAAAAATGTAGTTGGCAACATTGTTCTCGCACGCTATTGTTAGTGAAAAGCACTAAAATCCACAAGTTTGTCAAGGAATATTTTACTACCGTCACGGAAAGTGTCCTGAGAAAAGCAATAAAAGTGAAAATCTTTGTTGTTGGACCGTAATTCGATGAATTGATATGGCACAGATTTTATAACGGCGGGTTTATATAAAGTAAAGGAGAGTTTAAACTAATTAAGATGTATTTTTTAATGTAAATAATTCCTAAAGTACTCTGACTCGAGTAACATTTCTAATGCGATTCATAGTTTTCTTGGTTTCTAATGCGGTCCATAGTTTGCCGCAGATGCCTGGATGCGATGGATTTAATGCGAGGAATTTCCTGAAATGCAAATGTAAACAAACCATCCGACAGTCTAAATGCAAGAAGTTTAGAGCTATTTTGTGCACGAAGTGGTTTTCAAATACGTATAAAAACATTAAAAAATTCGAATTTTTAATACTATGTTTTAAAAAATTGAAATTTTTAATTATATATTTTAGGCAATTAGGTACGTATAGCGCAATTAGAACATATTTTTAATTGGCCCGAAAAGAATTAGCTCCTGATCGATACTAATTAAGCGAAGTCTCTAAACTTCAGAACAGAATCTAAAATACTTCAGAAGAAATTCAGATTTCTTCAGGATTTACAGTATTATCTATGTAATGGCTATTTAAAATAGAAATAAAGCATATATACCATATCTCTGATGTCTTCTCGATAGCAAAACGTTTCTATGGCGACAATCATATTTCCAGGGTCACTGTCTGTTAGATTCCGGCAGCAGTTGAATATAATATCTTTTCCCTAGAAAATAATAGTAGCCAAAACTAGTTTACTTAAAAGCAATATATCTAAAACTGTGAAGATCATTACACTATTGTCTGATTATACACATCTGGGAATTTAAAATTTGTGAAAACTATTTTCAAAATTTAGACCGTATTAATAATTTCTGAAGATATTAAATCTGAAAATGTCCTTAATTTTTCTCATCTTCCAATATTTTATTTCAGTTTATGTTAACCATTTCTTTTACATAACGTAGTTAATTTTGGGCTTTCGGCTCTTTAATATGTTACAGCCAAAAGCCCAAAATATACAATAATTAACTAAGACCTCTAATGTAATGAAGACTCTTCATGAAAATACTTTATTGATTAGAATAGTATGTCAAATGAATGGTATTAGTGAATTTTATAGCTGCTGGAATGAACTCCTTTTAAACCATGGAATGTTCTTTCGTAAACAGAATGGAAATTTTATAAATTTCTTGCAACACCCTCGTATATTACATTACATCATATGATTTTTACTGCAACTTTTTTTTTTAATTTAGCATTCAAAATGACATATAGAAGAACTAAAATTTCTCAATAAGATTTTTTCTTTACTTCTCCTTTTAACCTTTGATATTTAACAAGTGTAAACTTTAAAATTACACATTTCTTTTCCTTCTGTTTCAGCATTTGTTATTTTGGTAAGCAAGAATTATATTAATGAGAAAAAAAGCCCAAATATGTAAATTCTGACATTGTTCAGTTCTTTGTAAGAAAGAGAATGGTGAAAAAACCTGGTTAAGGATAAATCCTTTAAGTGTTATAATCAAGAAGATTGTAGGCCTACACTTGCTCTATACTGCTACTTTAGTCCTAGATCCCTAACAGACATATAGCGAATTATCGCTATATGGAAGGTTAGAAAAAAACTTTTTTATTTAAACAGAACATTGTACATAAAGGCATGACTTTGTGCTACAAGTAATCACGCCTGTGGCAATGGAAATCAACAGAACAGTCAATTTAAACTAAATGCTGATGAGTAGTCAAAGACTACACAATTGAAACACTAAGCTGACTGAATAAATTACCAGCACATCACATTAAAGTATAGGCGGCAAGAGGAACGTAAAGCCAAGATAATTACATTAACTAGTGGCTAGCAGAAACTGATCACGATAATAAAGATAAACCAAAAGTTACTGATGTTAAGATCTGCTCATCTGGTTTTGTTGAAAAATATGATTAACTATCGAAATAAACGTCTAATAATGACTTAGTCTAGTTAAAAATATGAAATTTGAAATTAAGTTTTAGGAATTTTGTAGGTTTTTTTTTTAGAAACTTTAAGAGTCATTAGGTTATTTTGATGTAGGAGATGCGACAAATATGCAATGCCCTCGCCGGAACCCAAATCTGGACCTCTCGAATACGCGCCGACTGTGCGACTGTTACCCCACGAAGGCATGCAGGAAGGAGGGAGAAAATACCTTATAAACTTTTTCCCAATTTTTCATTTTTTTAAAGAAATTATGCAGTCTTTCCAGAAATGAAATCTCAAAAACTTTAATTTTTTCCCCTTGAAATCTCGAGAAGTAAAACTATTAATAAATAGCCAATAAATACAGAACTTACTTGCAAAGATAAAAGTTCTCCACAATCAGCAACGTCTCTTACTGTCTCGATCTCTGAAATACAGTAATAGTTTAATACGTAGCTTGATGATAAATGCACATTGTAAACCAATGCAATGGGAAAAAACAATATTGATAAAATTATTATTTATGATCAAATTAATATTTCATATAATAATCAGATTACTAATTTCGTGAAACCTGACAAACTTGAAAAAGCATATTATTATACGCCTTGTTAGGATCAAAATAATTCGAATTTTACTGTTTATACTTTTAACCTTACATAATCAAATCAGCTTCTCAAATTCCCTTCTCACAAAAGTAGAGGGTCTAAATGCATACTTCGTGAAATATAATGCAATACCCAGAAAGAGCAATATACTTTGAATGAAGTGCATAGGCAATATATGCACATGCACCAATAGGACTGATTTTATTTGCATACCTACGCAACACATAATACTCATTTTAAGATACCCAAGGTGCTACGGATTATCCTTCAGAGGACCCATTCATGTTACATAGCTGTTCATCAGATGGGACATTTGTCATACATTGTGAAAAAACCCACCATATTTTTAACCCTCTGGAGCACAGAGATAACCTCTCTTCTGGAAAACACTGTTCTGACTTCCGATTTGGTTCAAGGCTCGACTGGGACAGATCCTGTGATCCTGGTAGAAATGGCAAGACACTCATAAAGCCACAGCCAAAGCACACATCTCTGCTTCTAAAGCAACCTCACCGACATACATTCGCGCACCGTTCTAATGGAACGTTCTCTTGCCTTCGTTATAAGGTAGCCATCAAGGGAAATACAGAGGGCTTAAAAACTACATAGTTTGTGTATGGTTAATCGATTAGTAGATCCCACATTATTAATCCAAGAATCATAAGAAATGGTGCCCCATACCATAATACTAGGCCAAAGCATATATTTAGCTGGATCCAGATGCGCGGATTGAAACTCTTCACGTATACGTATACTTGATCATCATCTGCACGAAGACAAATGCGAGTTTCTTCCAAAAACACTTCACAGCTTCATCTAGATTTTCAAATGCATCTCGTTTGGCGCCAGCGAAAGCCACTTCAAGTGTACTTATGGACTGAGCAACATACATCGTCTTGGAATATGGAGCACGACGCCCAGCTTCGTGCATACGGTGAAGTATGGACGCAGCTGCTGCTGGAAGCTTCTTTGCGAAACACTCCGCATTTCTGTTAGAAGGATTTCGTAGTAAGTTAAAACTGATGCATTTATTTAAATGCTATCTTCTACTGGCCCCAAGGAGATTTATAAAGTCCTATGTCTACTCTTATGTTAATTTTATTGCTAAAGAAGAAAGTATTAGATCTGTTGATTAACGTATAAGGTAGTTTCTCTCTTCTTTCTGAATGCCTTTGTGGTGTAACGGTTAGCACACTCGGCGAGTATTTGAGAGTGCCAGGTTCGAGTCTCGGCGAGGGCATTGCCCATTTTTCATGTCTCCTGCTTCAAAATAACCTGATGACTCTACAGTGGCATCCGAACTAATAGGTGGGGGTATGATGATTCTTCACCACCTGGATTTGGCGGCTGGGCTCCCTAATCCCCAGTCCCCTTTAAAAAGTCACCCTCCCTAGTACTGACCAGTACGAAAGTACTAGTAAGCAATAAATCTGATGTTGGCATCTTTATCAAGATTTCTTTTCCACTATTTAAAAATTTAAATAAAAATACTAACATCCTTTTTTACGGGGCACCATTGTGAAATAAAGAGAAGTGAATTGTGGATGAATAAATGTCACCATTTTTTTAAAATTTTCTGCACTCAATCCAATTATTCTTTCATCGACTGGTACTTCCAGCCAAGAAAAATTTTCTGCGGTTCTCTGGGGCTTAATTCTATTTAGTGTCAGTCAAAATCAACAAAAAACATGCATCGCAACGTCGATTTTCGAGTGAAAATCTTCAATAAAAATTCTGTCCAGTGATTGTAACTAGTAAGATCAACAGTTATCTTATTATTTTTTCTTTTTTATAGCTTCTTTTTTCTTCAACTTCCACCAGAATTCAAATTAGTTTAAAGCAAAAATAAACGTCTAGTTTCTTAGTTTATCAAAGTGTGTCTGACAGAGTAGGCTAATCATTACTTGGGTACGATTAAAGTTAGATTCTAAGCTAGATTTTCAGCTGTTACGAATTACCTTGCAAGGAAAAGTTTCTGTTAGCCGCGATTTTTTAGCGAGAGTTAGGGCATCCAAGGCTTAGACTTTTGCTAATTTTGTATTTTACACTCGATTTAAATTGTATTCAAAGCTCATTGTCTACTCACACGCTAGTGGAATTTTTGTTCATGTTAAATTTTCACTTTGTATAACCGTCTAGCCAACATTGTTAATAAATGCTTTTGTTTAGCCTTTTACCTTGGCTGTGCTACAGGACGAAAAGTCGACCCACTATGACAATTTGGTAGTTTAAAGTAAATATATAATCATATAATTTCCATGAATTCTTGATCTAATTAATCTGTTAAACGAAGTTACAAACCTCATGCTAATTTTCTGTGACTGCAGAGGTTACAATGCTTAGATGTAGACTTAGAATTCTTCAGGGCCTCCTATTTTAACTTTACAACGGATTTATAATGGATTCAGAAGAGAATTTTCTTGTGACGTCTGTACGTACATACATATGTAGCTCACATAACTCAAAAGCGAGTATGTCTAGAACATTGAAATTTTGTATATAGGACTGCTATAACATGTAGTTGTGCACCTCCCAATTTGTATCCAATTGGTCACACAAACGTCTATAAGTATACTCAAGGACGCGATTTGTTTGTATTTAAAACCCTTAGTAAAATAGTGAGTTAAATCGTTTTGTATACCAACTTCTGCGTCTTTTTGCCGAATGGAAGCAAAAGTAAACTTTCGGTTTTGTACACCGAAAAATGTGTCTTCCTGCCCGCTGGCTAAATTTCTTGTTTTTGCCTACAAATTCTAATTTTAATTGTAAGAAATATTTTTTAACTGTTTTTGGTGTTTTATGTTTTTCTGTATTGTACAATTTTTAATGAAGTTGTTTCTTCGAGTTTTTGTGTATTTTTGCTTTGCCGCGAAGTGAGAACTGAATTAATTGAATGAGAAATATATCTCTAATGAAATTAGAGGAAATAAGTTTAAATGAAATGCAGCAAAAATATGCATAATTTAATAGACCGCGCAAGGAAGTCATATGGGGACCACGTCAGATATTTTTGTAAAGGACTTCTTGACATTTAAAATTGTAGGAAGATTTTTGTTGCATGGGATTTATTAGACTATAGCAACGCACACTAGGACTATCTACTTAAAGTGAGAAAATTTTTAAAGTTGATTTTTCCGTTCAAAATAATTTTGGCATTTTCTGTATACATTTCCTTTCATCATAACCATGGTTTGCTCAAAGTTTCTGCAATTATTGCGTCCAAATGACTTCTGACTGTGTCCAATTTTGCTATTAAATTAAGAAAAATTGTAAGAGATTGTAGCAGAAAAACAGTGAAAATCAGATTCCTTAAAGAAGAATGAACTTCGAAATCATTTCTCTTGCTGTCTTGAAAGTAGGCTTTGCTCTAAAAGTTGAATGAGCTGTTATCAGTGATATAAGTAAATCAACAGAAGTGCAGTCATGGTAATAAAATATTTTTCATTATGTTAGTTCTATCTTTCGATGTACAGTCATCAACAATTAAATTTGATAAAGAAATTCACTATTTAAGTCCTCAATAACCATTCTAAAATCTAAATTTTAAAAACTGATTTTAAATTTATCGACCCTTCAATTTTTTATATAATCAGACCTTTTTATGCTTATCTTAGATAACCGATAACCTTACTATGCTTATCAATACAAATTTTTCAACAGAGTAAATAAAGTTCCTTCCCTAAATAAGGTTTCTTTTTCTTGAATACTGATTTGAAGTATGCACTTAGAATTTTCGTATAAGCCACAATTTTGAATGACATTTGTTATCGAAATTTCTTGATAATATGCAATTCTGAAAGAAAAAAAAAAAAAAAAGAAGAAAAGAATAAAAATGTGAATAAGCTAAAAGAAGTTTGCTTATAACTGTTGAGTTTCCCCCCCCCCCATGCTTTAGTTTGAGTTACTTTATTAGTTTCGACGTTAAAAACATTTTTAATAGTGTCTCCAAAAATTTCTTAGTGCATCACATTATGCTGTCGAATAATTATCATTCACACGACCTAGCAAATGTTGTCATGGCTTTAGGAGATAAAAATTTAATCTATCTAACATCAGAATTTCAACCATTTTTGCCTCATGCGACCCTTTCACCATTCCTAGAAAATCAACCACCCCTTTCCAAAACTCGAAAAATAAACGTATATATATATAATTTTTCGATGTGTTTTGTAAATCAAACAAAAAATGTAGAAAATGTTGATAAATAAAAAAAACTTGAATAAAAGTGCTTTATTATATTCATAACATAAATCTCAAATACTTAATAGATAAATAAAAAGCTAATAGCATTCCCTCCCTGAAACTATGAAATTCGCTTTATATTACTTTTAATAATACATCTAATTTACAAAATTTAAAATACATTTAATTTACATTAAATCAAAATGATAATTATGAACTTTTATAACATTATTGTAGTCAGTAAAAGATGTTACTTACGCTATGTATGTATTACGTATCTCGGCACAAAACTACATTTTTTGACACAGTTTTATGTCGCGCTTGTATCTTTCGATATCGGATTTTAACTATATATCTGTTTGATATAATTTATATCTGATTGATATTTATTAAAAAATTACACAATACTAAATACAATAACACAATACTTTTCTTAAGTGAGATGTCGTATATATGGCTAATAAATAATAATTTATTTGCCTACTGCCTCTAGCAAAAAGTTTGCCGCATTGAAAATCACTCGAGTAAAAACATTTCACTCAAGTAATTCTTATACTTAAATTATTTTAGAACTTGCAAAATAGAAAGGAAACAATATCTTACTGCATAAGGAATTCATGAGTTCATCTGCTTCAACGTCATCGAGCATTCGATCTTCTTGAGCCGTTGCCAACAGAAAGCATAAAGTGAGATATATAAAATATTTCATTACTGCGTCTCTGTGCGCTATCGTTTGTAGAATGAAAACTCACCGAAAAGTTATGTATGCATAAAACCAGCGATGCTTAACAAAAGTGACAAATAAATGGTCATAGGATGTTTTGCACCCTCTCTTTATAGCCACGCGAACGGCAAATAATAAATAATTTTATTCAGGGCGAAATCGAATTCTGCTCTGCATACTGATGAAAAAGTGTGTCAATGAACCAAACATAGAGGCCAAAATTCCGAACTGTTTGTTCAAAAGAGCAGAACAAAAGATTTCCGTGGGAAGAGTAGCCATTTTGAGGCCGTGTTAATTATTATGGTGAGCTATATTAGTTTTAACATAAAAACGATCTATAAAACAATTGAATTAAAAGATTTGAAGGGGAACAGCCGGATTGTTGACACAACAGCAGCGAAAAACATCCGTTAAGTTAGATTGATGGTATATGAAATATGTATTTGGAGCTTTGACATTCAGAATTCGGCACCGGGAAAATGAAAGTTTAGATTTAAATTTGAGAAAGGTTGTTGATCTTTTTGATCTGATGAACCCAGAGATAAAATCTTAGACCAAAACGAAGTTGCTGTGTGGAATTTAACAACTGCTATTTATTTACATACTGCAATGCAGAAGATTGTTAAGGAAATATAATTAATGGAGAATTTCGGTTATTAAAATACGTAATGAGCAAAATTCTTAACTTTTATTTCATATAATATTTCTGTATTATCTTTAAATCATACATGTCTATAACTGAAAACCAGACATAAATAGTCTTTGGAGTATTAAATCTATTTACTTAGCATTCAAATGCCGATTTTTGCATTCTTAACCAAGTTGTATCGTATATTTCTGTGGCACATCCAGAAAATAGTACCCGTTTAGTAACAAAACAAAAGCGTAAGAAGTTAACTGACAAAAACTTTAAACTTTGAACATACATACCTTGGGCTGTTATTCCTCGGAGATCTCCGTGTATTTAGGCATATGGCATACTAGGAGATGAGTTTTTGTTCATCTTCATCATTATTCCATTGAATAAAGCAATTACCATGTAATACAACTCAAAGTATCAGCAATGAGCTTGACCGTATCTATAAATTAATCTACTACAGCATCAACAGGAAGCTCATACTCATGATAACAGTAAGGCCACCATATCAGGTAGGAAAGAAATTATTCTGGGTCTACGAAAATTACTGTGTCCCTCAAGGATAATACTAGATCCCCCTTTCTATTTAATCGAAGAAAGGATTTCCAGTGTTTAACGATGACGTAAATTGTCTTTGTTGATATAAGCGAAAGGAGAGCAGTTTTTTCTAAGCCTCTCAACCCTGCTGTTGGTAGACTTCAAAACCTGATGGAAGAACTAAATACTGATGTACTAAAGGAAGGACCTGTATCAATGCTTCCATATCTGAGTAAGCTTTTACTCGTAAAAGAAAAATAGTAAGTGAGGTCTTACATTTGTTCGGAGAAAACATTCCAGTTATTATCAAAGCGAATTAGTATCTAGATATTCCCCTCAATAACAGAAACACGCATATTTCCAATGTATTTGGAAAAGCAATAGGAATCTCCCCCAGGATAAAAACGTCACTTGAAAGTTCCTCTCCTCTTTATTCGTAAAAGCAGAATATGCACTAAAAATATCCCGCCAATATTTTGTTGGCTTGGGGCCTGCCTCCTGCAAATGGCATGTATAAGCTGCGAGTATTTCAAAGCATATTTCTAAGGAAAATCACAATAATCCATGGTTCGCTAGCAACGAGTTGATCCACAAGAATCTAAAAATAGAGCATATTCGGAAATTGAATAAAATTTCTTCGACAAAAGTACAACTTGAAACGAAGAATAAAATCACTTTTGAAAATGAAAAAGAAAACAATTACGTTGTTAACTTCACATACGAACTTGTTACCTCAGACTTTGCTCTTTATCCTTATACTACCATTTGCTCTGAAATAGACGCTAGGTTCCTTTTGTTTCTTATCTTTCTCCTCCTGTTTTCTCATGCTTTATTTTGTACTTGATATGTTACCATTTTTGCTTATTCCACCAACTCAAGTTTGCAATTATACTACAGATCATTTATCGCCACTTATGTCACCTTATCCATGCAACGGCTGCTTCAAAACTTCCGACGAGAGGTTTTAGAGTACACGGACTACTGTATCCACATCTTCACAGCTATTACCATCTTTTCATAAAATTAATGAACTTAGTCAATTTCGGGGTTCCAAAGCACTTTGCTGACATCGAAAAGCTGCAGCAAAGAATAATATCATTTCTCAGTAGACTGCTGGATTGGGAGAATGAGGTTATACGGAACTTGTTTCCCAACACGCCTTTCAGATCATAAATGCCTATGCACAGTTGCAACACAACGTGCATACTTAAAAAAAAAAAAAAAAAAAAAAAATCACCTAAAGCTATTTTATATTACGCTTAAAAGTATGTCTTTTTAACGTTTTGCGTATTACCTTTATTTATAAGATATCATGTTCTCCGCACTTAAAACACATAAAATTCAATTCAACTGCAATATCACAAAATATTTGAAAACAACAAAACAACATATCTTTAGAATTTCCAATACACAGTCTCGCGCGCTGGAGATGAAAAAGGAGGTATTGTAATCGCGAAAAATTTCGAGTATCATATTTCAACGAAAATATCCATTATGACCGCTATCAAATGCAATTTAACGATGTGTTTGCATGACATCTGTACGTAAGGACAGAATAAAGGACTCCCGCCCCCCCAAAAAACTATAAAATTGATTTAAAATGAGTTCTGAAGAGAAATTTTCGTGGCGTCTGTGCGTACTTACGTACGTATGTATGTACCTCGCATAACCCAAAAACAAGAGCCTCAGAACATTGAAATTTTGTATATAGCACGGCTATAACATGTATATGTGCACCTAATATTTTGGTTGCAAATCGGCCGCACCAAAACGTATATAAATATATGTATATATATATCCACCATATATGTATATATATATATATATCTACTCGGCTCAGTGATCTCAGTTTCTTTATTCTTATATGTTTGCAACTTGTGCAATTTTTTGCTTAAAAAATGATTGAATCATGTTGTTCTTATCTACCTGTTAAGGTTTTTATGCCTTTAGTAAATCTGTATGAAATATTTGTTATTAAAAATTTAAAAGTTATTTAAGTGCGGCTACTCCTAATTATTTTTCCATAGCGACCATATTTGTTTACATGTGAAACTTAGCAGAATAGTGGATTTGTTGCCAATCTAGAGAAACTAAGCATTGCAACAACAAAGTAAATTTCTTTTATTATTTATTATTACATGTATAATTTTGCACTTGCAGTGCTAAAAATGATTTTATTATAGTTATTAATCCAAAGGGGCTTTGTCCCTCAAGGACTATTGTTTTGTGATTTTGCATTGAAAACTTTAAAAGGCTGTATCACTTTTGAAATCGTTGCCACCAAATATTATGGACCTGTATTATATTTGAAGAAATTAAATAATGAAGAATCTGCATAAATGTATTGTGATGTCTTTACATACGTGTGTACCTATGTATTTATCTCGCATCACTCAAAAACGAGTAGCCTCAGAACGTTGAAATTTTCTGCACCTCCCGTTTGGGTAGCAATCGGCCATACCAAAAGTATATAAATGTTTATATATAGGGCTGGGACGAGTGTGGTAAGTGAGGCACTTGCTTCATGTAAACAAATAGAAGAGGAGATAAATTAGTTATTCGATCAAAAATTCAGAAATTTATTTTTAAAACTTATGATTTTAAATTTTAATTTCGGCATACATCAGTGAATATTAAAAGCATTTTGTGTTATAAACAATCCAGTCAAAATAAGAAAGAGGAAAACTAATAGCATTCATTTATTCTCGAAAGACATGAACTTTCACAGTGTATATAATATTTTCTAGCATTAAAATTTTTTATTGAAAATAGCTTTAAGGAACTAATTACACTTTGCGTAAGTCATTATGATAGAAATAGTGCCTATCATATAGCTAATCACTGAAAGGGATCCGTTTCTTATCTGTCTAATAAAGTACAAGATGAATTTATATTACTCTTAGGTAATCATGTTCAATTTGAAATTCGTTCTACAACCAAAAAAGCGAGATATTTTTCTTTGATATTTGATTGTACAACTTATGTTTCGCATCATGAGCAACTGTGTCAGATTATTAGATACGTGTACATAAAAAGCCGAATCTATATTTATTGATTAGGTTAGGTTAGGTTAAGTTACTTAATTACGGCAAAGCCTCGAGGGCTATCTGCCTAAGGGGAGGGATGCCTTCGTGGAGGAGTTTCTAAGGGAAACTGACTCGTATACACGTTACACACGGGGAAAAACACGAAACCACCCATGCAGCCAGCCCGTTCGCGGGATTCGAACCTCGGACCGAACTACCAGTGTTCAGCGACTTTACCGCTCGGCCGCTGGTGGGCGTCTATATTTACTGAAGACAGCTTTATATATTTTATAGAAACAAAGGAAAAAACTGGTAGTGGTTAGCAATGAAATTATTCTAAGTTAGAAAAGGACGGCCTTGGCATTCAAAATGTTCGAGGACAAGGTTATGATAACGGGACTAATATGGCTGGATTGCACAAAGGCGTGCAAGACATTATTTGCCAAAGAAATGATCAAACTACATATATTTCTTGTTCGGCTCATAGTTTAAATTTAGTATGCAAAAATGCCGCTTCAACAAATTCAAGTATGTTAATATTTTTTGGCACTGTACAAAGGATTTATAATTTTTTTATATCTTCGACGAGTAGATGGGATGCTCTTATGTCCGTTTTGAAAACAACATTAAAAAGTCATACGGATACACGATGGTCATCAAGAGCAAATGCTGTTAAAAAATTCGATCTGCAAATAACAGAAGTAAATAGATTATTGAAAGATATAGTATTAAATCACAAATTTTTGCAATGGGCTGAAAATAACAACATTTTGAAACAAACCAATTTTAAATTTTTATGTTTGTTATCTGCGTGGAATTTAATACTGCAATAAAGCCGCACGCTTAGTGGGAGGGACTATGTCTTTCATTACAGGAAATGAGAGAAAATATTTCTCAATGCTTTTTTGAAAAATGTAAAACTTCAGCTTT